AAAAAACCTCTAAACAAGTTTATAAATCTACTTGTTTGCAATTTCTTTTACCAGAAAAAATGTTCAACAAGTTTACAAAATGTTATACTTGTTTTTTCTGATCATCTGCCTGAATATCGAGATAACATGGGGAGAATATGCTCCGGTGGTGCGAACAAACAGTGGCATGGTGAGGGGAATTGTGTTGACTGATAAACGAAACGGAAAAAGGGTGCACCTGTACAAGGGAATCAAATACGGTAAATAGTTAGTGCGAATTACTTAACAGGTTCTATTATTTCCTTTTATTTTTCCAGGGGACGCCAAGCGATTTCAAAAGCCCACACCAGCACAGCCTTGGACTGGCGTCTACAGTGCGACCACCACCCGGTACGCCTGTCCGCAGCCATATGTACCGGCCAAACCATTTGGTCATCAGATTGTGGAGCGCAGTGATGGCGGTGGCCCACTGTACAGCAGTGAGGAGTGTCTCTTCCTGAACGTTTTCAAGCCGGAAGAGGGCTCAGGGTCGCTGCGAGCAGTCATGGTCTGGGTAGGGGTGAAGGGCACAGAATAAGTGAAACGACAAATGTTTTACCATTTTTTGCAGATTCACGGAGGAACAAACTTGAATGGAAACTCCTATGCATATGACGCCAGGTACATTGTATCGCTTGGCGATGTAGTTGTGGTGACAATCAACTACCGCCTCGGAGCTCTGGGCTACCTCATTGGCGCCACTGAAGAGTACCCCGGTAATCTGGCGCTGTACGATATGACACTTGCTTTGAAATGGGTGTGTAACGAGTTTGGAGTAGGAGTGAAAGGTTAAATAAAAGTATTTTAAATCATTTTTAATCGTTCGTGTTACAGGTGCAACAAAACGCCGCCCACTTTGGTGGTGACGCTCGCCTGGTGACGGTTTTTGGAGAATCTTCAGGGTCGATGGCCGTAGGAACGTTAATTCTTTCTCCGCTCACAAAAGGACTTTTCAAACGGGCCATCCTCCAGTCGGGGGCGCCGAACCAGTTCACTGGAAGCCAAAGTGCAAAGGCCATTGGCGAGAAAGGGCTCGTCCTGGCGGCCAAGATCGGCTGTCCAGTAAAGCTGTTTACTGCCGCCATGATAATGGCCTGTCTGGAAAAAGCGAATGTCGTTCTTTTGCAGGGTGAAGTCAACAAAATGGCCGCCACCAGTCTATTTGTGCCCAGCTTTGGAACGGAGTTTCTTCCGGACAATCCGGCGAAGCTGCTTAAAGCGGGCCGTTTCAACACCGAAGTTGACCTGCTCTACGGCAACAATCGTGACGAGGGAAATGGCGTCTACGCCTCTAACCCGGCTTTCAACCCCTACAGACCGGTGACAATCACATTTCCAATGATTAGGGTGGCCATTTGGAAGGTTCTGAAGGCGGCTGGCCCTATACTAGCGCGACAGACTAATCAGACCTTTCAGTGGTACACACGAGGACTCACGGAGGATGAGGATGAGGACAAGTTGAGGTAAATTGCAAAACAATTAGCCTTTTTTGATAAAAAACGTGTAACTTAATTTGTATTCATTTTAGAAAAATACCCGCAAGAGTCTCCGCCGATCAGGTCTGAATAAACAGTTGTGAACTTTAGTAAAAGAGATGGGTTTTAAATTTAATTCAGTTTAACAAAACAATCAAACTATCTATTTTACTGTAGTTCACACTGTACTGAATTGGTGTGCACTTTACAGCCGCTCATTTACCGTTTTTATTTGTCTTTAAAGGTTTTCGTGTGCCCCACTATGCTCTTTGGTCAGCAATTTGCCCNAGCTAACAAAACAAAAAACTGATAAAACTTAAGTTTATCATATTTTTTCCAAAAACCTTATCCTTTTTACTGTAGTTCACACTGTACTGACTTTGTGTGCACTTCACAACCCTCAATTACCGTTTTTATTTGTTTTTAAAGGTTTTCGTGTGCCCCACTATGCTCTTTGGTCAGCAATTTGCCCAGTTGGCCAGTGACTCTAGTCGCGTCTACTCGTATCACCTCACCCAGCCACTCTCCCTCTCCTCCACCTGTCCTCACCAGTGGGGCGTTTGCCATGGGACCGACCTTGAGTATGTCTTCGGAAAGCCGTACGGAGAGAAGTCTTTCTGGCGACACTCTTGGCGAGACGAACGGCTCAGCGTGGATATGATCAACAGCTGGACCAGTTTTGCAAAAACCGGTGACCCGGGAGAAATGGGCGGTGTCAAGTGGGAAAAGGCGTTTCCTAGTGGCAACAACGGGATTGGCTCGCACCAGGTCATGGTTCTTGATGTGGAGAACTACCAAATGGTAAAAGGGTACTTCAAGGACCCTTGTGAGGATTTTTGGAAAGCACGAATTTTTGTTTAACAAAACGAAACATTGCATGTTAACAGGTTTTTAAAACTTTTAATCAAATTAAAAGTTTTTTGAAAAACGATTAAATTTAGATGTAATGTTTTTTTGAAAAAGCTAATTTAACTGATTAATGATGCATTTCAATATTTATGGGTTTTCCAATCAAATGACAACAAAACGTGAGCTGTTGGCAATTGCTCATTAAACATTTTCAAAAACAGTTTTAAAAAATTCAGCTCAACTAAATTTTAAAACCATTCAAGCAATAAACTTTAAAGAATCATTAATTATCTTTGTATAACAAATGTTTTTCAGAAAAAAACGCTTAATGATGATTTGCAGTATACAGTTTTGAGCTAGCAAAAAAAATGCACATCAGTTGTCAAAAAATTATATACTTGTTTTCCTTCATCAACATAAACTTCATTGAGCAAGTAACCTCTGAAAAAGAAAAAAAGTACGCACCTGTGGTGCAAACGGCCAGCGGAAAGGTGAAGGGCATCATCGAGGAAGCGGGTAAAGAGGGGAAACGAGTGCATATCTACGAGGGAATCAGGTATGGTAGGTAGAAGGTGAGTTGCACATTTCCCTGACAATTGTAACATTTTTTTAAAATATAGGAAAAGCAGAACGATTCCATAAGCCCACACCAGCACCTTCCTGGAGCGGCGTCTACAGTGCCACCGCCGCCCAGCACATCTGTCCGCAGATGAAGCTCAACTCGACAATCTTCGACTACTACTTTTTCAAAGCTGACAATGCTGACCAGACACTGACCAGCAGTGAAGACTGCCTTTACCTCAACGTTTTTCGACCTGCTGAAGATGTTGCTGCACCGGAAAAACGAGCCGTCATGGTCTGGGTAAGCTTGGGAAGTTTTCTTTTGTAACATTAAAAAATTGTTTTTTTCACTCAGATTCACGGAGGACTGTTCTTGTTTGGCAGCTCGTA